GTTCTGGAACAAGTGTCTGTTAACGAAAGAGTGGGGGATATAATGGTGAAACTAAGGAAAAGAGAGGGGTTTTGGATTCAGCGCTTGCACACACTTTAACCCTTTGGGTTGAATGTGGATTTTGATTTAATTTGTTTTCTGTGAGGATTATTATTTTTTCATTTCCATTCTTATTACTATATTTATCTCCATTTTTATTTTTATTGTATTTTTTTATTTTATACCCTCTCCTATCTTGGCTTCACATTGTATCTATACCTCCATTTACGATACTTTCCTTTCTGTTCACTTTGTCATGTCAAGTCTAAGTTTTAATGGCATGTCTCTTTTTGCCTTTATAAATTTCATTTTCTTATATGCGGGACATTTTTGAGACTTTATAAACGCGCTGTTTTGCCGAAGGACATATGAAACACAAGGATACGTTCCATAGCTATTGCCGACGATATGGTTCGGACGTAAGTGGAACACATTACCTGGAGTCAGAAGATGACGTAATTGTAACGTATATGCGTTCCACTCAACAACCTGAACTCCAAATACGGAATACAAAGATCTCGGTTATGGCAATCGTGAAGTGGAAAGATTGAGCTTAGGTGGCTTATGGACTTATTTAATGACTTATGTGTACATTATGACCTTAGACAACATTGAAAAGTATTTATTGCTTTTATAGTCCTTAAATATTATTTTGATATTTAATTCTTTGTCCCTGAGGAAGTCTGAATTCAAAAGACAAAACGTGTAGGGCTGTTTTTTGTTTTTTTATTTATAGTTACATATTATTTATTTATATTTCTGTATCCTGTATCTGTAAGCACCTCTCCCATCCGTTGGATAGACCTGCCAGTGGAGACGAATGCTGGAGGCTGCAGGATCTGATTGATGGGTGACTTTTTCATTTTAATCTTGTGAGCGAAACCATTAAAGTGTCATTGTTACTTTTACTTACAATGTTGCACTATGTTTTAATTTTCTTTTCACAAGTCATCTGATTTCCAAGAAAATACAGAATACCAGAAACCTACGGTCTTCATTTTATGTGATGTGCCTGCTTATATCTGAAATCCTGTAAGTGCAACCTTAACAAATTGGGGTCTTGCAGTATTTTTACGTTATTCTATGAGATTTTTTTTTAATTTGTGTTTGTTTGGTTTAGGTATATCTCTGTTTTGTTTACATTATTTATGGATAAGAGGACCTCTTGTTATACCTGAGCATAAAATGGGTAATATCTCCCCTTTTTTTGTATTTCATCTATACTGCACTTTTTGGTGGTTTAATATATTTATACATGGTTGTGTTCCTGATCCTATAGTGTTCCTTTAACACTAGTTGCATGTGACTTTGAATGCATTATTTAATGGTGTGAATTCCAGAGAAATGACAGTTACCCTCAACTATGACTACTGGTTCCACTTAATCACATGGTCCAAAAAATTAAAGCAGCTTTCTCATTTCCTGGTAGTTCATAAAGATCTAATCTATATGAAATACTGAACTGTTGCTGACTACTTTAGAATTTCAATGAAATCCAAACATAACATAAGATTTTATTCTGTTGGCTGAAAATGATCAATAAGTATTATCAAATGCCAGTCAAAATTCCAACAGCGGAACCTAAAAAAAACAGGTTGGCTGCTTGATAAATATTGTTGATATTGTCTTTGGAAGCTTGTCCATTGTCCTTTTTTTTATTGACTAGCCCTGTTAGCCATTAAAAAATAAATTAAATAATAACCTATGGGGTTCAACATGACCCTCATATTAGTAAAAGGGAGACTTTTAACCGCTTAAGGACCAAACTTCTGGAATAAAAGGGAATCATGACATGTCACACATGTCGTGTGTCCTTAAGGGGTTAAACCACCACCATGCCGCCTTGGCAAGTGAGGGCATGTCCACTAAACAGCGAGTAGACAGTGGCTGTTTGTTGTAATAAAAGACT